ATTATTATGTTAATAGTTTAAGACTAGCACTTTATAAATATTTTTAGAAAGGTTTTTCTAACTTTTTAATTACATAATATAAAATTATAATTTAAAATACTTTTATAATAGAAGTAGTGCATAGCACTATTTAAATTACTATATTTTATATTATAAATTATCTATAGTTTATATATAAGTTCTTAAAACGTTTATTATTTATAATATTGTTTTTAGAATTTAAAGCGTATATAATGTTTATTTTTTTATAATAATTAATTATACATACGAATGTGCATTTTAAAAGTCCTTGCTAGGCGCTAGCAGGGGGGGTTAGCCACATGTCCCAATTTGGCAGTTGCTCCAGCCATACGTGGCCACTTTAGTTTTCCTGTCTCTTAGAGATCTAACTGAGTTTAATTCAATCAATTAATCGATTAATTAATTAATTACTATTATGGCCCCTTATAATATATTAACTCAAGCCTTTATAGTTGCCCTTAAGGCTACTAGCAAATTAAATAATAAGATTATATATCTTACAAAGATTCCTATCTAAACGATTAACTTAATCTATAGGCGAGCAATTACGCGCGGCTTTAACCTAGCTTAACGGCTATTTTAAATTAAAGATAGCTATCTTACAGATGCTTTACGATCTAGCTAGCTATTAAAGTAACTAGTAGTCTTAGAAACAGTTATTAATTCTGTACGCACTAATTAATATAGATAAGAGAAGTCTTGCGCTAATATTGCGGATGCGCTTAGTTAATAAGGAATTAATATATTAGCTACTTGTCACGAGGACGCAACGAGTAGGCCTTTAGTTCTTATAGCGAAGACTAATTAATTACTACGTGTAATATCTAGGTAAATATAAGACGTCGTGTACAGAACAGAAATAGCGAAATAGGTACGAAGTAGAAATACTTAGGGGGGTAGTCTATGCTTCTAGTGCGCAGACTAACTGCTAGTTAGGGTAAAGTTTAGAGAATAGTTCTAAGCGTACTAATAATAGTATAAATAGGACTTAGTAGTATTAGAGGATCTAGGGAGGATACTATAACAGTACCCCCCCTCTATTCTCTTTTTAAATTAGGCGTTAGGTTGCTAGGCTACTAGGTACTAATTTATTTAAGTATTAGGTATAGAATTACTTAACTACTTTAGTCTCTTCTAGAAACTTAGCTAGCTCCTATAATAATTTATTATAGCTAGTCTATTAGGTTAGGTATTCCTAGGTTTATTTTCTCTTATTATAGCGAATTCTCTTAACGCTCTTAATAATAAACTCTAGTTTAT